GTGTGCGTGAGTGTGTGTGTGAGTGTGTGTGAGTGTGCGTGTGCGTGCGTATGTAGATCTTTCTGTTTACGTTGTGAAACACCAATCCAGTGTGCCAGGATCTGGACAATGAAGATGTATCTTATCTTAATCTTATCTTATCTTATCTCATACTCTGCGCTAAGCTTGACATTCAGTGAACTTCTCCAACAGTGTTTTAGTTTTCGTAAAAGTTTTACGCCACTTGCAACACAATAAGGTCATATAAGCGCCGAAGAATAGATTTGTCACAACAGAGTAACATACACAAAAAAGGAGGAGGAGGACAGATAAGAACGATAGATTTTTGATAAGAAAGAAGGAGCTAGCAAACCACACCAGAGCACCCGCCGCCAACCACCCACTCTCCGACAGTTGTACAACAAAATATGTGAGCATCGTGGTGAGATCAGGCGGTCGTCAAACTTATGAAATCCGAGAAATCAGCATTTTCGGCCAGTTTAGACATTGTAAAAAATTTTTTTTTAAGCTTTTGGGCGCAACACCCTGTGTGTCCATGATAAAAAACACTTTTATATGTGCAAGTTATGGAACAACTTTGTGATTAAATGTACACAAACATGCAGTTTCCAAGGACTTTAAAACTAAGGAAGTCACAAAACTTTGGCAGCCATTTTCACGTTAATTTTACTACTGAAACCAGGCGACCCACCTCTTTTAATCGCAAATATCTCGACTTCTATTCAAGATAAATGGATATTTTTTCATCAAAAGCAAGACAAATGAACTGGCTTTGGGATGATACCTGAAACTTTATATGCCCCAAAATTGACGAGCGACTGATTCCACAGCGGCGTGACACATAATGTGTTTTTGTTTGTTCCTCAGCGTATTCCGACGTCCCATTGGCCGCGTGTTCTTCGCAGGGACGGAAGTGGCCACCCAATGGGCGGGCTACATGGAGGGAGCCATCCAATCAGGGGAGAGGGCTGCCAATCAGGTAGTCAAAGGGACGGAGGGGGCGGGGCTTCGGTGTAATTTTTTTTTTTTTTTTTTT